GCAATTATAAGGTTATTGTAGGACTTGGAGCAATCAAGTGTGTAGAAGATTACTTTAGTTGATAAGAGGGAATTAGAATTCATGATTTAAGGGATTGGGGTGTTCTTAAGAACATTTTTAAGTATGGGTTAAGGTCGCATCAAATAAAGAAAACATCATCAGGTGCGGCCACATTGCAAGATTAGATAGTCCAAATCTTCCATAAATTATAGGATTTGAGGACGATTTCTTTAACAACTCAAAATTAGGTGAGGGCTGCTGGCTTGAAGGGGGAGTATAACTTAGCTACAACGAAGCATATATATTTCTCTCATCACGTAATCACATTCGAGTTTCATTACAATAAACATGTGAAGCAAAGATTTCCCCACAATAAAAAAGTACAACTAAATACAGGGATTAAAAAGGTATAAATGAAAAAACAAAGAACGAAAAGGGAAAAAAATCACTATCGGAAACTTTTAACTTGTTGTAAGCTTGTTGATTGTGTAAGAATATGGAATATCCTGCAGTGCTGCTGTGCATGATGCCATTCTAATCAAGAACACAGTTACACAATGACACTCGGAGCACCTGATCATCCTGACACTCGTACTCAATGTCTTGTGCCATCGTCAGCTTCATGTCAATCAAGTAAAAACAATGCACATTATCTTCAACAAATATTCCAAAATAATTTATTTTAAAGACTTTTCAAATTACACATAACCATGTACGTCCATATGACTTTTTTTTATTTTTTAATTTTTATACCATTTGTGTCAAACCGAAAGTAGTAAGGACATATCGCAATTGATTGATATCTATAGTCGGAGGAGCTCTTCTGAAATAGATTACATGTTCGTTTCAAGTCCGAGTTCAAAGGTGGTGAGAGATCCAAACTACAGTGTTGAGTGTTGTGATTACTTTTAGTCAGTTAAAAACCCGACGTGCTCTCCATTCTGCATCAGGGTTCAAATCACTCTCTATGTAATTTATATTAAATTAAAGTAAATTATCGCTTGTATAAATAAGAGAGTAAAATAATGATTCTATGACCTGCTTCGAAATATCTTCATTCTTTTTCTCACCACTTTGAGTGAGAATTTAGCTGGGGTTGGTATCCCATGATAATTTAAAAGGATCTCTTACGATCTATACAAATCTTTGGAAAATACATCACAAAAATAAATACTAAAAAAGCATGATAAATGTGCATTAATTTTGCCGATGAAGAAATCATTCTGCAAATATTTTTTTTTTAAAAAATGTTGCACTAAAGAAATGTGTTAAAAAAATATATATTAAAAAAAAAAAAGAGTAAGTGTCGGTTCGTGGACCAACGTAGGATAATTCACTGAATCTAAGACCGTTGAAGGGGTGCCAGAGCTTCTTGCCTACCTAACGTCTTTTTTTATATAACACTCACATGAACCTTATCTGCATATTTGATGGTCCTTTGATTTTCTTAGGCTTAAAATTAAACATAATAAGACTTAAAATATCGGTACTTTGAAAAAGAGTTGGGATAGAAGACTATAATAATCACATGAACCGAATTAGCTCCCTAAAAAAAAAATAATGGGCCCATTTTCACATATATATTTTTTATGAACATTTTCATTAATACTTGCGGAAAAAAAAACGACATATAACAAGTAGGTCACAAATATTAATAAATAGAACAAGTATATGTGTCCCAAATGATCATTTTTGTTTCAATTTGATAAACGAGTGATGTTTTTATTGATCAGATAAATAAAAATAAATACAAAATAACTAAGGGGACGAATATGGATACAGCTTCTCTAGTGATAAAAAATATCAACTTTGTACAAAAGCACTCTCCTGAAAAGTTGGTTTTTGAACATAAACTATTATTTTCAAAACTGAAATGGTTACTATATGATTGTATATTATTTAGAGGAATTTGATTACCAATTGAAAAACAATAAAAGGTAAATATATCTTTGAACTTTAAAATACAATGGAAATGGATGACTATGGCAAAAATATAAAGAAAAAGCATAAAGTTTCATTAACACACAAAAATAGACAAAAACAAAAACAAAAACAAAAACAAAAATTCTTTGTCACACAAAACATCCTATCATGTTCAGCCAGCTCAACCACCAATTTCCGTTCACATTCCGTGTTCAAAAAAGTGTTTAAAATATTATTAAATTATTTACCGGGTCAATTTACATATATTTAATTATTTGTTGTAGAAAAACTACATGTGAAAACTTTGTATTAACTTAGTAAGAAAAAGTCAACGAAATTTAGTTCAGTTGAAAAGAATCTTAACTTACAGATAAAGAATCTCAAGTACGAATTCTGATATCATAATTATGTGTTTGTAAAAGAAATTTTAAACTATCGTCTGTACTCACAAAACTTGGTAAAAAAAAAAAGAACGGAAGAGTCAAATTGAAGTCTTCTACTTGGAAACATCGAAGGCAAAATAAAAAGCGTTAGGGTTGTCATATTCTTGATTTTGATTAAGGAAATTGACATGCAATAAATAAAACGGAAAGTGACAAACAAAGATTTTCTTCCTAAATCTTCTAAAAAAAAGATTTTCTTTCTAAACGTAACAGTCCAACGGCCTTAAACTGCCGCCAGAACACGTGGCCGTTGGCTGAGCGACACGTGGCCGTCCTTGCCAACAGCATGAAAGCAAAAGATACGCCCCACCATTCACCTCTTGACGCGTGTGGATCAGCGTGTTGACCCCTAAGCCGACTTTTGGGCCGACCTTCCATTATCACTAATTGCTTTCTTTGCTAATCACTTGGTTTCTTCTTCTTTTTTCTTTCGAATTTTTGATGTGAGTTTTTATTGATGGCTTATGCTCGTACCTACCACCTACCTTGGGTCCTTGACTATGTCCATCGTCATTCATTTTTCGTGGGATATTTTTGTGGTGCAACTTTCGCTATGGAAATTTCTAAGAAGCATTTGCGTTGAAGAAGAAGTTGGTGAAGCTAGCTCTCTCTCTCTCTCTCTCTCTCTCTCTCTCTCTCACTTGAGTAAAGCCAAGACACAAAAGAGAATATGATCAATTTTATAAGGTTTTTGACAAGAGGAAAATACTCGTATTGGATAAGTCTCAGCTTTATTTTTAAACTTTTTTGAAACTTTTAATCATGTGCTTTAAACGGTCACACGTATCTAACAACTCATCTTTTATGCAAACAAGGTTAGTGTGAAATGTGTGATATCTAATGATTTAACTAGGAGATCTAAGTTTTATTATTTTTATTTTATAAAGGAGAGATAAGGTATGGCTGATATATATGGATATGGGGTAAATATATATAGAAGTAAATATATATAGAGCTTCCATTGAGGGATCCCTCAAATAAGTATTTGAGGGATACCCTTGCAAAGCCCACTTCGTATTGTATTTTACTAATCCAAACCGTCTATTTTGTAGATACTTATTCAAACATCATCTCTACAAAAAATCATCCAATATCATTTAACTACTCAATTGAATTATTGAAATTTTAGTATTTTCTTGAAGCAGTTCATTGATTTTGTAGGACACAATTGGATATTGAAATAGTTTCCGATTTGTCAATTTTTTTGCAAGGATGATCTATGAATGTAGACTTAAAAAATAGATGGTTTCGATTGTTGAAAAATGAATTCGTAAGGGACCCTAAAAGGTATCCCTCAAATAAAATTATTTGAAGAATCCCTCAATAGAAAAGACTATATATATAGTTGCTAGTAAATATCTTTCCTTCAAAATGTGTAAAATTTATTTGATCTCTTGTTCTCTCATTGTCACAGATAGATGAATAGAAGACAAGGTGAATCCAAATCAATCATGATCCGTTAAGAATGGAGAAATGGCGCCAATCAGCCCAAGGTTTACGTCTTAGGCCCATTATATGACATAGCATTCTAGTCCCAAAATTGGTACCTGAGGCCCATTAGATTTCATCTTGGCTTTACTGCTACTCCAGCTTTACCTTGCACAATATTTTGAAGGCCTCTGTCGGAGAGCAAAGAATTATGCCATGATGCCATCCATAAGTTTTCCATTTCTCTCGCTTGAACTTGATCAAGGATTATGGGACGAGTAATGAAAGATCCTAACTTTATATTTTTTGTCTTATGATTTGAATTGTGAGAGATCTTAGAGGGCTATGCGGTTAGATTACGATTAGATTAGACATCTTATTTTCACCCCCCAAAATATCAAGTTTGTCACAGCAGCACATATCTTGAGTATCTCGAAAATACAATACCCGAGTTTAAACCCCCCATAAACTAGAGTAATTTAGTTGTGAAAAAAAAAAATCTAGTACACGAAAAACAGAAAGAAAAATACAAAAAGCTCAACAAAGTGTAGCAAATTAAGGTCATTCAGAAATTTGTTGCAGTCACTTGAGAAATTTCCATGAACCTGTTACTTGAAAATGTAGAATTTGTCAAACAGAAAACAAGTTGCCGGGAAAAACAAACGAAAACCATAATTTTCTTTTCTATGTTCTTCATCTATCCAACCGAGAAAGAAAGAACGAAAAAAAAAAGGATGAGACAAAATTGGCAAAGACCAAGACCTTTTGTTATCCAGTTGCTCCATGCATGCATGTACTTAATTATTGTGGCCATTATTACATTTCTTAAACCAAGTGAGGAGGGTGGGTTGCATTGGCAAGACCATTCTCCCCTCCCTAATTCCCTCTTTCCTCCCCAGTTTCCCCTCTCTTTCCTTCCCAGTTCCCCCCCTCTTTCCTTCCCAGTTTCCCCCCTCTCACGGAATGTGGCTATTTATATGAGCTTTCAGGCTTGATAATTCCAATCAACCCAAAAAGCCTAACTAGCTACTCTTGACCCAAAAAAAAGAAAAAAAAAAGAAAAAAGAAAAAAGAAAAAAGAAGCTAGGCAGTGGAAATGGCTGAACTTGCTGTTCCGCTAGCAATGGTCCTAGTTGAGAACCTCATCATAAAACTCAACCTTCCAAGTCCAATCTCGCATAGGAAGACGTTGAAAGAGCCCAGAAAATGTTGAGGAGGATGAAAGCCTATCTTGCAGAACACTCATCCGACCAGATTGATGAAGGCCCCCAAGTGATTCGAATTCGTGCAAAAGAGATCCAAGATACAGTTTACGATATTGAGGACGCTCTTGGAAAGTTTGTGGCTAAGATTCCACATCACTTGCACAACAATAGATTCTCTCGGATGGCGCACAACGTTACACATTTCCCCCCTGTATTGGAAGCAAGCATTAAGTTATCAAACAAGCTCAAAAATATTGAAAGAGGAAGCACTTTTGCTTCACTACCAGCACTAGATTCACTTCTTGACCCACCAATTCCCAACCCAAGACCTGAAGAAACTTATAATAATAATTTGGTTTATCACCAAGTTGTTGAAGAAGAAGACACTGAGGGCTTTGAGGAGCGTAAAGAAATACTCATCCAACAGTTGGTGAAAGGAGATGATCCAAGTCCTTTGAAGATTTCCATCGTGGGTCCTGGAGGCTCTGGCAAAACCACTCTTGTAAACAGTGTTTATCGGAGCGGAAGTGTGCAAGGATTCTTTGATTGTCATGCTTTCGTTGATGTTTCGCGCACCTCTGATTGCCGAAAGCTCTTGCTAAGCATGTTGAGCAAATTTGAGGACCGAATGCAAGAACCAGTTGCACATCATCATCATTATGACGGAATAGATCCGGGGGACAAATTGAGAAAACTTCTGGACCAAAAGAGGTATGTGGTCGTTTTAGATAATGTTTGGAGCGACCATGATTTGGGATGCATTGTAACTGCTCTGCCAAAAGGTTTGCCTGGGAGTAAAATAATCATAACTACTCGAGACTCTAATTTAGCTTCTCTGCATGCAAATTCTGCCGAGTATATTCATGATTTGAGTAGAGTGTTATCATGGAAAGATGTCACCAAGCTGTTCTGCAAGAAGGCATTTCAAGGAAATAAAGGCGAATGTCCAGAGGAGCTTCAAGTTTGGGCAGAAAAAATCCTCCAGAAATGTGAATACTGCTCCTTGCAGTTTCAGCTGTGGCTACTTTGCTATCCAAGAAGCCACAAACTCCGTTCGAGTGGGAGAAGTTCCATAATAGCCTTGTTTCCAATCTTCCGATTATTGAACAAGTTTGGGATCCAAGTTACAGGGACCTTCCAATCGATGTACAAAGTTGTTTCTTGTACTTCAGCATGTTTCCCGAAGACTACTCCATCAAGCGTGAGAGGCTTATTCGTTTGTGGGTAGCTGAAGGGTTTGTGACCCCGAGAAGAAGAAAAACAATGGAGGACTTTGCAGAGATTGATGGGAAGATAAGGACTTGTTGAGTTACGAGCCTTGTTTGCGAGTTCGTCATTTTAAAAGCAGAGAATTTCGTTACTGTCGTGGAATCAAACAGTACTAGTACTAGTCATTCGGGTCAGAAAATTCGACGCCTTTCTGCTCATTATGCTCCTATCAACAATTCGTCAAGAGGGTGTAGAGACTTGAATCGAACACGTACCTTACTAGTGTTTGGCTCTACCCAGCCGACAGTGCTTTCCTCTGACGAGCTTGGAAATGTACTTAAAACCCTTTTGCTTGGGTTAGCCCTTGGGGAGGTCCAGCTCGAGTAGCAAAACTCGTTTTGGGCTGACATCAGCGCTGGAGTTTAATTTTTTTTAACGTTGGCGCATGCAATGCACGCGCCAACGTTAAAAAAAATTTGATGCGCCGCTACAGTGCCGGCCCAATGGCTCTCTTCCACGTGTCGTCTGCTGGGCCATCCGATCAGCTTTTTAAACATATCCAACGGCAGCCATTTTTTCGTGAATAAAAAAATCGGAAAAAGCAAGCCCCAACGGCTCTGTGCCACGTGGAAGCTTCTGGGCTTTCCGATTTTTTTTTTCCAGCCATCCAACGACAGGGAATTTTTTGCCCAATAAAAAAATGAAAAAAAATACCAAAAAAATACTGAAATTGTTTTCTATAAATACCAACCAATACTCTTCACTTTTAACATCAATTACCAATATTTTTGTAATACAAAATTGAAAAAAACCAAAAGATTACTTTCTTTTTTCTTCTCTCTATACCTTAAGTAAATGTCTTTGTCCTTTTACTTTTATTTATTTTTATATTACTCAATTTACTTAAGTTTACAATGTAAATATGGAAGTACCCCCCATTTGGATGCAAATAAAAATACTAGAAAATCAAATTCCCACCAAATCAAAATATGAAAAATCGGTTTTAGTGCAAATACGATTTAGGCTAAAAATGATGGCTCATTAAGTCAATATATACTTCATATTAAAATCC